GAGCAGGGCCAGAGGGCCCGGGGCCGGGGCTGGGGCGGAGGGCGTCGCGGTAGGGAACCGGTGGGGGGAGAGCCCGGGGGTGACAAGCACCGCAAGAGGCGACAAAAGCGACATGGGGCCTGGGCAGTGCCCGGCCCGAGAGCTGGCTGGGGGGTGGGGGGAGCAGTCGGTGCCGTTTGGGTGGGAGGTTGGATGGGAGAACGGCGAGTGCGGTGCCATCCTGCATCGAGGGAAGGGAGGGGGAGAGAGAGAGGAGAGCGGCTGCCCTCCTGGTTAATCAGTGTGCAGCCCCTCTGGTGTGCTGCCTTGCAGTATACTTTTTAGGAGAAAACAGTAAAGATAAGAGAAGCTAAAAGATGTCTGCATGTTTTTGCCAGAAGGCCTTTTTTTTAACCTGTCCTCAAAACTCTTTGATAAAGTACTTACTGTTTTTAAGGGGAATGGAGTAGTACTGTTTGTTTTCTAGACAATGGTAATGTTTTTGATCAGCTGCTGCAAAGGAGATTGTTATTGGGCTGAAAAGACAGGGATAACACCAGACTTGTAAAGAGGTTGGGGAAGTAACTGGAGACAGACTATAGTGAGGAATATTGAAAGGAAAACGCATCAAATCTGAGTATAAAAGGTTATAAAATTAGTTCTTTGAAGATCCATCTTGAGACCAATCTTATTAAATATTTAATAAAGATCTTGGTGTAACAATTAAATCTTTACTGTTCTAACTTGGTAGTGATGAAGAGTTGGGAGGCAATGGCAACACAGAAGAGGTGTTCTTTCCAGTGCTACATGGAAAGAATTGGCTGAACCTGAGAACTAGAGAATGAAATAAGTACAATAACAATTTAAAGAACAAGAATTTGCAGTTGCAAGCTTGTAAGCCCACTTTACAGAAGAAATTCTTACCAGTTGATAGCAACACAAAACCAAAATATGTGTTAGGTCGTTACAAGATATGCAATCGTGGAAAAAATTAATGCCGACCTATGATGATCCAGAAAAAGAAGTCACTATTATCCATGAACAAAACTATAATACTTTATATAATGTTAATCATCTCACATAAAAAGTTAAAGATGCAGGAAGATGTTCGTAGGAAAAGTAGGGAAATTAAGAGTCTGTCGAAAGACACTTTCGGCTTTTTTAGTTTTGCAGAATAAAGGCCTTTTTTGCTTTCTGTTGACCCATGAAGGTAAACACTGTGAAGGGAATAAATTGAGCTAAAGAATGATGTTGATACATGAATAATTTAACATAGATTTTAAGATTAATAATATATGAAAATTTCTAACCATCAGAGAGCACTGATGTTCAGGAGCAGCCTTTGGAAAGGTCAAGGAGGAGCAAAAACCTGACAATTGTGAGATGGAATACGACTGGTTTGTAAAAGTAATGCTTTTGTTTGCTGCAGCAGGGGACAACTAAGCTTAGTGTTATCTGTAGACTTTAGGTCTGTTTTTCTTTTTTGTTTGTTTGTAAAATAGATTATTAATAAGAACTTGTTAAATGTGGGGGTTTTTTGAAAAAAAAAAAAAAAAAAAAACCCAAAACCAATGCCATAGTAATGGTTGCTGTCTGAATAGTAGGATTGGTGACAATCAGAAAATGACGCTGGCTAATTGCTCTCTTTTTGAGTTGAAGAGAAGGTATTGGAGAGCAAGCTGAGATGAGTCAAAGGCTGTAGTGCAGTATGTGTCTCTGCTGTCTTCTTACCAGAGGAATGTTAGTTTGCATCTGGAAGAGGGGCCTATAAAAATCAGTTCTGATCTGTACTCAGTGACAGGTTCCCTCTCAGCAGGTTTTGGTATCCTTCATTTAGAGTTGCCTCATCAGCAAGAGCAAGGGATTCCAAGTGGTGCCTTAAGTTTACTGTATTATCCCATCTCATATTCTTGTGCAGCTAATTTCTGAATACATGTGGCTTTGAAGTCCTCATCTGCAGCCCAGGACCTGAGGTACGTGGTCACCCAAGGAGTGAACTACTCCTTGGATGGCTCTTCTAGGAATTTGGGTATGCTGGAATTTTGAGGGCTGTTTCTCTTTTCTTTTCATCAGTCTGTCAGTTGGTTGCCTCCCACATAATCTCAATTGCGGATGCTCCACTTCCAGATGAGTCAGTTAATAAGCACATAAAATATTTTAGAGGGTATTTGTTTATACACATTATGTGAAATACATGATCCCTGATGCATTCAGCTTTCTATAGAGACCATTTGTAGCATGCTGTTAGTGTAGATAACAGGCTGACGGGCCTGTCTTGAGTGCCTGGGCCTGTTCCACCAAATTTCCATTGTCGGTGTTTACTGAGGTTCTGCTGTCACCTAGGTCAAGAGCACAAATACTGAAATATTCAGATTTGCTGTGGTTTACTTTACTACTTAAAGACAATACTTACTAAATCTGTAGAAAAAAGTTTTATCTTGTGCAGTAGCTCACTGAAGCCACGTCTGTACTTACAGAACTTAGATTCTGGCTTTAATTCATGTATCAACACTGCTTTTCCAAGTGGCATTTCTTTCTTTTACACTATCGATAAAATTTCAATTGACTAACAGAGCTGCTTAAACACCAGTTTTATCACTCAGCAAATTTCTCATGTCCAAATAATGCAGCTACATCAGCTGAATTTTATAACATAAAGGAACAAATCTTTTGAAGTTCATTGATGGGGTTGTATTCTCCAGCATGCTTAAGACCTCTTATGGTGTCACATCAGTATAATGGGTGGTGACAGAGAAAGGGCTGTAGCCCATTTCAGTGAAGGCTTCTGGTGTGTGGGTTTCCCATGGGTGGTGTAGTACGCTTGTCTGTCTTTTTCACCTTGACATTTTTTTGTGCAGAGAAGCATATGCCAGTCCTTGCTGTGTGTTAGTAAGTTGGGGACTAGCTCTGCCTGAGTCTGTATACATTTTTAGAGGTTTGCTACATCTAAGGCTTGTCAGCTTATACTAAAATTTATTGAGTAGGATTGTAGATGCAGGTGATGTGATTTATACAGTCTACTTGGTTTTTCAGGAAGCATTAAAAAAAATAGTACCCTACCAGAGGCTTTTGAGGAGAGTGGGTACTTATAGTATAAAAGAGATTTCTTACCTGCAGAAATAGTTGGGTTGAAAAATTAAAAAGAGGGCAAAAATAAGTTGCAAAAAAAGGAAGCGGGCAGAAGGGTGGCACATGAGCTTCAGTGTACACAAAGGTAAGATGATGTCTTGAGTAGAATAATCAGAACCATGTTTACACGGTGCTGAACTCACAACTGGCAGCTGCCACTCAAGAAAAAGCTCTTGGAGTCACCATTGACAGTTGCCTGAAAACCTCGGCTCAGTGTGCTGTGGCAGCCAGAAAGCCTGGAAAATGGTGACTGTCCTCAGGGAGGCTACTGAGAAGAAGGCAGAGGGCTCCCTTTTGCTGCTCCAGCTTGGGGCACCCCCATCTGGAGCAGTGTGTGTGGTTCTGGTCTCTGCATCTGAAGAAGGATACAGGTGGTTAGAGAAGGGCGACCGAAAGGGCCACAGGGATCAGCGTCTTCATGACTGGAAAGCCAGGGTTGTTCATATTAGAGAGGAGATGGCTGGGACGTGATCAAGACTTATGAAATGAAGGCAGT